CACCTCTTTTTTTTTTTTTTTTTTTTTTATCGCTTGGAGCGCACGAGAGGGAATCCCTATAATGTTCAAAGAACATCGTGCTAGGGAGGATAGGGACAGGAGGTAGGTATTGGAAATTTTTTTGAACTTTTGGAGATTATATGTTGTTGGGAACACTTCCACAGGTAATGAATTCCAGAGCCTAGCCGTTCTATGGATGAAGGAGTCTTGATAAAGTGCTGTTCGACATCTTTCGAGGTTGACAACGAAAGGATGTGCTGACTGGGCTTGTCTAGTTCGTCTGCTTGGTATTGCTAGTGAAGGGATGATAGCAGAGATTTCCGAAGAACATTTACTAATATTATGGTTCAAATTATTGAACAATCAGTTGGAGATGAGCGTTTCTCACGAATGAGAAATGAATAATTAGAAGGATCACAGAATGCGATACTGACCGTTTTGTTAGAGTTAGAGGAACAATATAACACATAAATCAACATCCTTTATTGAGCTGCAAAAACATACTCAGTGGACCAAAAGTTATGAGGGATTGAAAAAAGTCATCAAGTAGTTTCAATCTCGAGCCTTCAGCTTCTTGACTCATCGGTCGACATACTTCAATTACCTTGTTGTTGAACCTAATGGAAACATTGCTATCGAATTCCACGACCGACCCATCAAATCCAAACCATAACCGAAATTATAATACTCTATTGGATTAAGTAGCGTCGCGTCGGGCGTCGGGTAACTCCATACTCCCAGGGCGCCGTCCCGACGTATCTCGACGACGGGAGCTGAGGAAAGCTCTGTTGGAAAGCAGGTTTCAGTTTTCACCGCCTCACCTTTGGAATCTCTCCCGAGTTTCCCGGCTTTACACTGTCAGTTCTAATTCTGCCGGAAGCGAGATTACATCACGGAGCCGGATTTGTTGGTCTAATTTTTTCCGGAGCGTTGAAAGAATCATATATATCAGATTTTTCTGCTACAAAATTATGTATATATTCTTATTCTTACAAGAATCGTGAGAAAGAACTACATGGTGGGCACACATCAATCAATTTATAGTTCGAATTCAAATAGTAATATAACCAATTGTTAGTACAAGCTTCATATGTATTTTTGCTGGCATTGGAAACTATTTTATGCAACCTTTTTGTATTGGGGGTCAAATGAAAATATTCAGCAGGGACAACAAGCTAAGACAAAACAATCTGTAATATATAATATATATATGAGTCAGTATCGATAATCCTCGATCTATTTTTTGAATTTGTGAAATTGATTTTTTTTAAATCAATTGATTCCATGTAGAAGGACATGTCCACGTCGAACGGATTCATCAATATTTGGAGTTGAGGCTTACGTGAACGAAAAGTCTCAAATCTGGATGTGAATTCTGAATTCGATGAAGATAGTTTCGGAGCTAATGCAATCTTATCAAATTTTTTATGAGTAATATATCATACAGTTAGGAAGGAAAAAAAGTTAAATCGAATATAACGATAGATTTGATAGATAGAATTGAAACAAAATGAGAGGTATAAAAAAATATAGGTATATAAGTGATGCAGGGATTACTGGAATTGGCGGTGATTCAAACCTCTTGATTTTATTAACATCTGCACGAAACAGTTGTTTCTATTGTGTGCGTGAATTTCAATGACTTAGCACAAGAAGTTCCCTTATGAATGAAATTGAACATGTATTTTTGATAATTCTGATTATATTTCAACCATCATTATCCTCTATCTGTGGTGACAACGCTCAATTTTGTCCATGTTCAGATTAAAAGTATTAAAAATACCAAAATTTTCATCAGAAATATCTTCTTTCTTTGTGGTACCTACCTACATTTTTTTCGACTCATATGGAAAGCCAAATTCTGAAAAAGTAAAACCAGAATGTAATGGTATTGCAATTTGCAATATTCCATTTTTCATTTGGCGGCGATCGGCTATAGGATTTTGAAAAAAACTCTTGGAAGTAGTAAGTATCTGTACCTACTGTATAAGCCAAGTAATGTTATTATCAACTTATATCGTTACTAATACCACGATTCAGTACCATCATGTATGAATTTCTTCGATACTTGCATTTTTGAATCCATCGAATGTCTAATGGATCCTGTTTAGTGAAAAATATGCACAAACTTTTATTTTCAAATGGAAATTCATGTACATACGTGTCAGTCTTAGAACAAGAAACAAGATATCTAGATTTTCATTCAACATGGCATATTACAAAAAGTATACATCAAGAAGTTGTTTTGAAATTATGCAATTATATATTTGTAAATAAAACTTTTTTTATTTTTCTGCAACAAACAGATACCTAGGTACATTATATTTAGTAATTATTTGTAAATAACCTGCTGTTACTTTTTACTTATTTTTGATATATTATTCCTAGTAAGTGTTGAATGTATATTATTAAATATGTAAATTATTGATAGTTATACACCTTCTATGTAAATTATACGAAAATGAGCTTTGTAAATGTTTTACCACACCATTCCTTCAAACACTGAATGCAAATAAAATTTTTGTGATCGGCTCCAAAGTCATTTATTTCACCCTCAACATCCTAATCCGGTAATATTTCGTCAACATCAGATCAAAACTAATTTAGAAAAAAGATTACTCCCAGATAATACAAATGATAATACAATAAGTAGGTACAGGATGTAAAAAATTATTGGCTGTATTACCAACAACTGGCTCCATGAATATTAGAACTGCAATTGGAAAGACACTTATTATTAATTATTATTATCATCATTATGAAATTCCATGAGAGCTTCCAAGAGACGGGGGATACAGGGTGTTCTTTGATTATGTCATATTTGTTTTCAATATATATGGTTCGTCTTCGGAATAAGCTCATCATGGTAACCCAAAGTGGAGTGATTCAGATTGTAGAAGAGAAACACTAAGATGCCTTACAACATTTATTTACCGAACAACTATAAGTAATAAGACATAAGAGATAAAGACAATAGAAAACAAAATCGTTTAACCAATAATCAAAAAAAAGCATAATTTTGTGTCAGTAGAATAAATTCTCAGCTAAGGGAGTCTTATTCAATATAGGGGGCTAGTTCCTTCAAATTGCCCAGAATCGGCAAATAAATGGAAATTTCTAACTTGTAGGTAATAAACCCAATCAGACAAAGTACATCTACATTAGGTATCATAGACGTCTGTATGTAATCAAAACTTGCAAGAAAAATTTTACCCACTTCCAATCGTCTGACTGATTTGAAATTTGGCAAGTAAATTTAATCCTGGTGACAATTCCTCGTGACATTATTATTGAATGAAAAAAGATAAAACAAAATGGCGGATCTTATATAGCAGACGATTCTTGTGATTATGGTCCAATTCGAATCTAAATTGGTGGTTTTCGGGGTCACACATCATGAACAGATGACTTTTTTGGTTTCCTAAAATTTTTTCCAGAATATAACTCACATTATTGTACATTTTTGTACGTCGAAATAACGTACTGGAATATTGTAAGTCTTGAAAACGTCTTTTATATATAAGTCCTGGAAGGAATGACGTAATTCGGACGTAAAATGCACGTCTTTGAGACGTCTACTGCTGATGATTGGGAACCAGACCAACGTCTGATTTAAAATAAATATGGTTAGGTTGATATTTTGAATGTCAAAATGATGAGCATGAGGACACACATCAGTTGCATTCAAATTTCATGACATTTGATATCGTTCTCAGTGGAAAATAAATATGAAATCACATATCAACACTAGTTTTCATACTATTACCACCAGTCTGAGACATCCGAAATGTCAACACAAAGTCGCCATATTGTAATGATAATTACCAGTAGATTTTATTGTCGACACAGGGTGAATGATTTTTCATTTATTTCACATCTTTTCTTACTGGTAGGTTGAAAGTGAAGTTCACTTGGATCGCTGTCCATGGACGATGAACATATCAGAGATATTTATTGATGTGAAGAATTTCCTTGATGAGTTTTCCAAGCAAGTGGCCATCATCTATAGCCTCAGGAATCACCGGATTTCAATCCCGTTGATCATTTACTTCAAGATAATAATGGAAAATCAATTTTTTATGCCAGAACTCATTTTGATGATGAAAGAAAAAAAGATAAAACTAGTCTACAGTCCATATCGTAGGTGCCGAAGACCCATCGCTCGTTGTCCGAAATAACGACGACAATTACGCGTCACGTGACCCATAATTATCACTCAACGGTCGTGGCGTTATAGCGCCCCGGGGAGCACCTCAGGGCTCCTCTCGCTGGCCCGCAGGTCGCCTAGCACGCGAGCTGCCGTGCCGAGCAGTGTCCTTCTATAAAGGGCCCGTTGTGGGGGAGATGGGAGGAAAAGGGGGGTCAGCATCGGCAGCTAAATTGCCAATTGCTCTCGACGAAAGTCGACTGGAGAAGTAATTGAAAAGGAAGCAAACGCTAGGATAAATAGCTCTGCTATAAACACGATATTTGTCGTGCACTGTTGGAAATTGGTTGATGATTCAACAAACATTTGTAGTCCCATTGTAGGTCTATACAATAATCCTTTCGTCATTTTTGGAGATCTCACTTTTGGAGTTCTAGAAACTTATCCGACCCGTTATATACAATCAATAATTTTCGCCAGTTTAAATGATACACACAGTATACTAATTCAGGCTTGCTTATTCAATTCAGTGTCATCTTGTTTGATGCGCCGAAGATACGATCCTGAATGAAGTATTGAAATTATTTCACTGTATAGGGCAAACAAAGTTAAGCTTCCAAAACGAATAAGTGAATGAAAGAATTTACGGAAAAGCAGTTTTCAATCAAGAATCGGTCGTTCTGGAATATTTAAGACCGATGGTATAATGAATCGTTTGTCAATCGTAAAGTCCGATCAGGTTTCCAATCAGAAGCCAACCTGTACATTTGACACACATCATCTTTCAATAATGTGAATGTCACTTCATCATAAACATCTCAGGGGATTTGGGTCCAAATCTACGATAGCCATTATGAAAACAGTAGTTTCCAAAACAGGAGTCGAGGTACTATACCCGTGCTCGATTCACCTACTAGACAACGGCCAAATTTTTGAGTGTGAGTACAAGTCAGACCACACTGGACGAGACCTCATCGACTACATTTGCGAACACATCAATCTCCAAGACAAAGACCTATGGGGCTTGAAATTCGTCGACATTTTCGAACAAAGGCACTGGCTGGAACAGGACACGCTGATACGAACGCAAGTGAAAAACGTCTGTCCCACCCACTTCCACTTCCGTGTGAAAGTCTACCCCCCAGAGCCCTACAAACTATTAGACGAGCAAACCAAATTTCAAATTTTCATGCAGCTACGATTGGACTTGCTCAGCGGAAGACTTGGTTGCGGTCCCAGTGACTCCGCTCTACTCCTAGCTCTCATACTCCAATACACGCACGGAGACTATGACGAGGCCATCCACTCCGGAAACTATATCAAAATGAAAGTCCTGCTTAACCAATCGTTCGCCACTGAGATGAAAGCCATGGATCTGCACAGGAATCATCTGAATGGACTCAGTCCTGCACAAACCCAAGACTTGTTCCTCAGAATGGCCTGCCAGCTTCAGACCTACGGGATTGATCCCTACTTGGTGGAGGATCTGGGGCATGAGTCTTACAACCTCTGGATCAATCACAAGGGGATGGTCACTTACGTGGATGGCAGGAAGGTGCATTCCTTGGAGTGGATGGCTGTTAACAGGATATACCAGGAAGAGAACAAGCTCAAGATCAACTTGGTGTCTGGCGATACGGTGACTTTCGTTTGTCTCACAAAAGCGGAATGTACTTACATCTTCCAGGGAGCTGTTGCTCACTTGGTGTACTTCACGAGTACCGGTACTCAGTCCACTATCGGTTTGATAGGAAACGAGAGTTTGGAGGAGCTAGAGGCAGATATCAAGTCTTTTGAGGTCGTGGAGCGAATCGAGTATGAAGAGATGAGGGAGGTGGATGAGAAGATACGGCTCCAAAGAGATATGAAAAAAACTGTGTGCTCAAAGATATATTGTGTTGGGTACAATCCTCGTATCTGGTGCGTAATGATATTTTTGATTATTGCCACAGTTATAGTAGATTTCTATTTTCTTAAGGATGTGGATGTTTTTGGGCTTGTCATTCTGAAAAATCATTTCACTAGTTTGGTAAGGAAACATATTGTGAATAAACTTATCCGATATCTCAGTTTTTCATTAGTGGAATTAACCAGTGAAACTGGTTCAAAATTGTTGGAACAGTATACCTATAAAGTGAGTAAAGTATTTTTCAGTAACTTCAATAGACGAAGCCATGATATGTTATCAATTTTGAGCTTTTTCGAGCAACCAGCTTGGCAAAATATTTCTCATACTCCATAACAAAACATCATTTGAATATTGAATATAGAGACTTGGCAATGCTGTGCTGAATGCTGAGAACTGACAAGACAATGCCCACAGTCCTGTGTTGTCACGTTTACCGGACCAAATGTCCTCTAGTGTGAATCAATATAATCATTAATAACACAAATTCATCCTGACCAAAAAGACACAACATATAAGAGGTACAATTGGAACCGTCTAAATGACAATAAACGATGATGGAAAGTGGAATTACTAATTTCGATATTTCAATATATTGAATCTGATATACCTTCATATAATTGTTGATAGATAATTATAGTTGAATACTATTTCATCAAATTATGTTCAAGATGTTAACAGATCTTGAACAACTTTCTCAATATCAACAATAGTTCGAGTCTGTGTATAAACATTTTCTTGATACTTACGACTCGATTTCTCTCGGAAATTTTCGTGTTTACGTCATCGTTGGTATAAGTGATGGAACTTGAAACTCATTTCATTAGGTTCATATAGCAATCGAACTGAGAAGGTTGAACCAGTTTATCCGGATTATGTTTCAACCCATTGTCTAATTTTTGGAATTTTTGATACTACTGAGGTGAGTGCATAAGTACAGGGTGTTTCTCAATGAAACCCTCTTAGAATGAGTCCTTTGTTTGCTAGATCAAATATCAGGGTCGAAAGAGTCGTATGCCAACTGAATTTCTTTCCGAAGTAATAACAAATAATATTGGCAGAATAGTGTTACTAGTTATTATAATAATTTGATACAATATTTTTTCTTTCATTTAAAGGAAAAGTTTTGTGTATACACAGAGTCCTCCAGAGATATAAGAAACTTGGGCTGAGGATAATCACCGAATATTTTTTCTGTAACAGTTATGATGTGAGTTATAATATATGATAATAATACATATGTTTTCATGCAATGAAGAATGTTTTTCTTTTCGATTGAAACCGATTTGACATGCAATTTTCGAACCAACAATGATTATCAAAAATGAAATATTGTTAGGAATTCACTGAGAAGTAGTACGAACAAAAATAAGTTATTGCAATCTTATAGTTATTATAGAACTTGTGAGTCTATCAACAGAATATGAATAAAAATACAGTAAGTTGATGTAGAACTAACAAGATATAATAGCTAATAATACACCATACAGATAATGCCTAACGACGCTAAGCTATTTCATGATATAGTGATATCATTTATATTAACTCTATCAAGAGAATATTATGAAGTTATCAATTGATTTTTGATTATATCAAGATTTCCATGATGGTTCAGTTGACTATACAAATGCGTTTGTTAATTCAACTATAGAAAATTGCTGTAGACCTACTGGGACTACAAATTCTTTCTGAATCATCAACTGATTTCCAACAGTGTATAGTTGAAGAATCCTCATTTTACAGCTTCCAAATGAAAAATGGAACAATATATTTCCCGGTTTACGGTATTCAGCGAATTTCAGCGATGAACGCCAGAGAGTGAAAATAACACAAATCGACGTGATGAGCAGAGACTCTAATTCGTCAGGATTTTCCAAATCATATCATCGGAGGGCCGCTTTTGTGCCGGAACACTGGCCACCGGTCTAAACTCTCCGGGGAAATTCAATCAGCGACTCTGCGAACGGTCAATCTGCCTCGCAGGGGTGGACTCTGATAATTGCGGGTTCGCATTTACAATAGAGAGTTCCGTTTCACTCTTTCAACCCTATAAAACGATTGATACGTGTATACCGGGTGAGGGAAATTCGAGTAGACGAATGGGAGACCACGCAAACGGTAAGAGCTACAGGATGGTTAAATGAAGGCAAAGTTGCGCAACAGAATGTCGTTTCAAAATTTTGAAAAATCATGAAAATATTAGAATAGATGTAGCAAAACAAATTACACATTCTCGTTGCTATTTTTTCTGTTCTAGATGATGGTGTTATCAGTTTTTCAACTCGACGTTTCGTCTTTGAGCTGTCATCATCAACGTTGTTTTTTAAATAGGTACGGCCCTAGATTTCTCATCAAGGATTTTAAGAACTTTTGATATCTTCATCTAAACGGTGTATGGCAATTATTCGAAAAAAGTGTTTGTTAAAAATCTATTCTCGGTCTCATGAGGAAAATGTCATTATAATATGAATTTTTCTTAAAGGAATTGGATTTTATATAAGACTACGAGAGTTAATATCCAATTGATTTATTCAACTGGGTAGGTATCAATGTTTAGCTCTTCTGGAATATCATCATTAGGAGATACTGGGACTAAATGGGCAGTATTTTCAAGATGTTCTTCACAAACTTTTCCTATCTAGATTCTAGATCGTTATCATCAATGAAGCACCTGTTTTGAATACCCGATTATATGTAGTTCCTGTTAGTTTCACTTAGATGTTGAGCAGGAACTAAATTTTTTTTTATCGATTGGAGCGCACGAAAGGGAATTCCTATAATGTTCAAAGAACATCGTGCGTTCCTAGGGAGCAAAGGGACAGGAGGTAGGTATTGGAATTTTTTTTGAATTTTTGGAGATTATATGTTGTTGGGAATACTTCCACAGGCAATGAATTCCAGAGCCTAGCCGTTCTATGGATGAAGGAGTCTTGATAAAGTGCTGTTCGACATCTTTCGAGGTTGACCACTTACCGTGGGGTTATTCTAATCCGACCACCACACGGTGTAAGATAGAGAATGAAAAACGTTTGGTTGTGAACAGCATTTCACTATACAGGGCGGCGCAAAAGAAACGAAGGGGTTTGAAAGGCCTATAACTTTTCTCAATTCAATTTCATTCTTCTTCTGTTTTGTGATTTGAAAATTACACAACCGAACATCAAATGGACGAAAACGATTGTTTTGAATTGAATGAACTTTATTATGAAAACCAACGGTTTATTATTCTGACTCAACGCGTCTATATCGCCGTTTTTTCATGATAGAAATTGACCATCAGATGCAAGGATAAATCGTCTACGTACGTTTTCGACAACAAGGCGCTGTCTCTGACCTTCCTCGAACTGGAAAACCAAAAACGGTGTGTACCAAAGAAAATGTTCAATGCGTGCACTAACATCCAACAACTTCAACAAGGAGACGTTCCACCGAACTTCGGTTGTCGTGGAGATCGATTCAACGGATTTTGGCCAAATTGAAGATGTTTCCTCATTAAGTACAGCTTGTCCAAGAGCTAAAGCCTACCGACTATCAGCAGCGGCTCGATCAATCATGATTTCGTGCACGATCTGATAATGATTGACGAAGCTCATTTTCACCAGGATGGATTCGTCAATAAGCAACTGCCGAATATGGTCAACAGAAACTTTTAGGGAAATCCATCAAAGGCAATTGCACCCTCGAAAGTGTACAGTTTGTTGTGGAATATCATCCGAAAGGATTTATGGTCACCGTCAATGGTGTTCAATACCGTACCATGTTGGAAAATTTCATGAGGCCAGTTGTGGAAAACAACCCTCAACTATGGTTTCAACAAGATTGAGCCACAGCCCATACAGCAAGGCAAACAATGGCACTGTTACAAGAGCGATTTCAATTGGTCGCTTGATTTATCCGCTCCCGATTTCTTCCTTTGGGGATATTTGGAGAAACGTGTATAGGTCAATAAACCAGAGACCATCCTCCAACTAAAGAATGATATTCGAAGAGTTATTCGAGCAATAACACCTGAAATATTGCACAAAGTCATGGAGAAAGTCTTGGAAAGAGCGCAACTTTGCGAAGCTGATAATTGGACACCACCTATACGCAACGTTATTTTCCACGTTTAAATCAAACAAATTCCCCAATATTGTGGTATGTAAAAAAAATCATTGAATAGACACTGAAATTAAGAAGTTATTCACTATTCAAACACCTTCGTTTCTTTTGCGCCATCTTGAGGCTCATTCCTGCTAAATCCTATACTGACGTTCAAATCAAACAAATTCCCCATTATTGTGGTATGTAAAAAAAATCATTGAATAGACACTGAAATATAGAAGATTGTTTTATTAGGATCAAAAGTGACACTCTGTTTGACAAGCGAATTTTGCATTTGCGAGGCGGAGCGCTTAGCGAAGCCGAGCGAAAGCAAAATTTGCGAGTCGAACAAAGTCACTTTTGATCCGAATGAAACATGCTATTTTTTCTGCAACCGAAACAATTAACTCAAATAAACATGTGAAGTAACCACCAATGCCGTGCCATATGTATGCAATGCAACAAATATTGACAAATAATCTATGTGGTGAGAATATTCTACCTGCATTAACAGCAGGTTAGGTTTTCTAGGATGTTCGAATTGTAGTTTCAATATGAATACAACCACAGAGTGACATATTTGTGTATGGACCAGGTGTTCTAATGGCAAATACCGCGCCAGTGCCAGCTATAGGAACAAAAGACGTGGAAAATGTTAGGTTAGTGAGCATATCAACAATGATGATAGTGATTATTTATTCCTTTCCATACTACACTGTGTTTGACTTTATAATCAAATGAAGCTAAACAATATCGTTGTTTGAGACAAAAAAACTATTGCTTGCCGTGATTGTTCAAAAACAAGTTATCCATCCCGAGAATAACGAATGAAATACAGATCAAGCAAGTATTTGAATCTTGAAGGCTTCCCTGATCAAAACAAAAATACTCAACTGAGATGTTTATAATTCCAATACTAAACTATAATAAGGTGTATTTATATCTCCAGCATGGGTATGAAATGCTAAATCTGCTGAAATCGGAAACAAATCAGGTATGCGTCTCAACCCAAATAACCAACCGTCACAATGTTGTTTATTCTTGATGACGTCCAGTAGATCATTTTTAGTTCCTAGGAGCTAAAGTTCAAGTTTAGCTCCTAGGAACTAAAATTCAACTTCAGCTCCTAGGAACTAAATATGTTGCCTAGCAACATACCTATTTTTGTGTCAGTAATAGAAACGTCAATTTAAGAGCTAATTTTGGTATCAAAATGGACGACTTTTGTGTCGGTTGCAGAAAAAAGAAGTTATTCACTATTCGAACCTCTTCGTTTCTTTTTCTTTTCTCCTGAGGCTCATTCCTGCTAAATCCTATACTGCGCTCATCGGGTTGGTTACCAGTCAATCTGCTGACCATTTCCCGTCAAAATTCACCAGTCTCCACTCTCTCTGCTCTTTCAGCCTCTGCCCCCGACGCAAATTACGCCGCCTTTAAACAATTCCCAGCTGAACTAGAGATAAATTGAATTTGTAAACGTTTCGCTAAAACAAGTACTTTTTTCGAGACCCGATCGTTGGGGCGGCGTGGTGGTGATAAACGATTGGGGGAGAGATTTTTACGGAGTATACGGTTCATTTTATCTGTACAAGTTTTTTCGAAAATACACTTATCCAAGAAATTAACGCACCGCCAAAAAGTAGCCAAGAGTTCAAGAAACATTTTCGTCTAAACTACTTGTCTGATTTAGACGTTTTTTGGTTTGAATGACAGGTTCTTTTTTCATTTTCTAGGTAAGTTTCTACTCAGAACTTTTTGTTGCTGAATGTTTAAGAGTGTCTTTGGCATCATCTGTGATATTTTCACGAACACTTGATTCACATTTTTTCTCTGTTTAAATTTTTTAAATTTTAACTGGGATGGGGTTAACCCATTAACGCCCAATGGTCCCGTATGGAACCAAAGAATATGTGTTGATTTGAGAGGGTTGAGATGCGATATTTCGTGATTTGTCGCCAGTTGATGGTAAAGTCGTTCATCAGTGAGGTTCAACGAGCGCGTGGAAGCTGTGGTATTGTTTATGTATTATATTTAGGTGTATTTATCGGTGCTTAGAAAGTCCATCTGTGAAGTATACCCAGAAATATGGACCTGAACTTGATGTAAGTATCACTATATTGATATTATTATTTTCAATGCCATATAGAGTTTGGCTCCGTTTTACTGATACATAAGGACAACTTTTGAAAACTACATCTTTGCATTATTATATTTGTGTCCTCCAGAATTTCAGTGTAAACATTGACGTTCCCATATGGGCTCGTTAGGGCGTTACCCTAGCTACAGTATGTTATGTTGACTAACCAATAATTTTCTTTCAGCGGAATAACACTTCAAGAAGCTTTGGAAATCGCTTTCTATGATGAAAATGTTACTGATATATATATTGAGCCGCCTGAAAGTAATGTTCTTAGGGATGAATCTTCATCTGCTGACGAAGATGAGGGTCGACTGGCTGATAATTTGAATGCCAGGAAATTTTCAGCACCTGCCGAGAACATTTTTATGAATGGAGAGAGATTAAATGGGATTCGATAATATATAGGGCAATGATTTCTGTGAAGCTGTGCCAAGGCTCTGCAGCTCTTGAATATCATTGAAAACCAAACCAACTATATACCAAGCTTGATTCAAGGAGATTTACAACCGCCTAGCAATGAATTCGCCTCTGTGGATTATTCCAAATATATTTCAATGAGCTGATCAATGTCATACGTATCTTACACGATATCAAGTACCCCCACGAGCTCCTGGAGGAGTACCAAGAGCTGCAGCAAGTGACTTCAGGATCAGCAAATACAATTACATTATGATGGCTTACACGAGGTCGAACAATGTGTTCCCAAGTGTCAGATTGGACTATGTGTTGATTGCTTTCGTAATTTTCATACCCAGATGATGAGCATTACCGTTAGCAAAAGCTCCTGAGGAAGTACGGTTGATATATCCCCTAAAATAATATATTGTTGAAAACAATGATTGGTCATTATTATCAGGAATTTCCTCGCAATGCTGGTTGATTCAAGAGCACGTTTTCTGATATGGAATTAGAAGAACAACGGGAGTACATTATCAATATTGACAAACGGGCATTTGGACTAACCAAAGAGCAATTCAGCACGATAATTCAAGATTTTGAGGAGAAACGTCACACTTCACACAGATTCAACACAAAAAAAAGAACGCTGGACGCCTTGTTGAGTTGTTTTGTTTAGGGTCCCTTGATGGAAATTGACATTAAAGTCATCTTAACAGGGTACGGACAGATCATAGCTGCATTCTTTTTTAATGGTCTAGGGACTTTAGTTTTGTCTACTGGCATCACTGACATTGCTGTCACGTCACATCCATGGGCGTTACAGAAAATCATTCAAAATTTTGATGATTGGTATGTACAGGGTATTTACTTGTTGTTGTTGAGGAAGATCATATGGCGGACGAGTTTTGTAATTATGATCCGATTCTATTCAAAAATTGGAAGATATCTGGGGTTTTCCGGGGTTGGAGATAATGATTGTTTCGTCAAACTTGGAAAATTTAAGATGACGGATCCAATATATAGCGAAATAAATTTCTAATTATGATTTGATTCTATTTAAGATTGATGGTATCTGAGGGTTTTCGGAGTTGAACTTCATGATTTTGTCAAAATTGTGAAATTCAAGATAGCGGATCCAATATGGCGAACGAATTTTGTAATCATGATCCGATTCTATTCAAAAATCAATATTGGTATCTATGGATTTCCGGGGTCGGAGATTATAATTATTTCATCAAAATTGGGATACTGAGATGGCGAATCCAGTATGGTGAACGAGTTTTGTAATGAAGATCCGATTCTATTCAAATGTGGTATCTGGTGGTTTTCGGGGTAGGAGATAATGATTGTTTCGTAAAAATTGGAAAATTCAAGATGATGGATTCAATATGGCGAAAGACATGACTTTATATAATTATTATTACTCTACCACAAATAGAAAATATGTAGGATGCGAGAGTGAAAATAACGTGCCTATAAGATATACTGCTTATACCTACTTCTTTATTGTTACTTTCATCAATAAATTATTCGAAAATGACTTGTTATTCAAGGGAGAGAGAAAAATAAGGTGAAGTTTATTCTTTTTTCAGCCTACTTCTCGTCCTAGACGAAGTATTATATATAGTGTGATATTAGTACCTCCATAAATTCTTCTCCGAGTTGAATTTACGAAAATATATTCAGCACACATGACATGAGCACAGTAGTTTAGATACCCACACCGAGGTTTCCACCATTTCTCAATCAAAAGGCTCTGCTTATTCAGGTCATAGATAAATAACTACTACTCAGCTTGAAATCAGAATTCATTCATTCAATTCAGTCAACCATGGTATACAGTCTAAGAACAGTCTCTTTTGGTGAAATTGAGATGTCTCTAGGCATCTTAGGTGAAATATATTAAGCTTTCAGTACAATTGATATGTTCCCTACCTCGCAAAGATTGTGCTGGAGTAGTGAACTCTTATATCTTGGTATAGTTAAGCAAGAAATTCCATATGGAAATTACGTATGATACGCCAGTGCCCTCAATATAACCTAAAAAACAACGAATGTCAAAAATCTAGTGTTTATCCCCAGAATTGAATAAGGATGGAACTATATAACTGTTTCACAAACACTTTAGAGTGAGAGGAGACGAGGATCTGTCCGTACCCTGTTAAGATGACTTTAACGTCAATTTCCATCAAGGGACCCTAGTTTTGTTGTTTATGCGGAAATACAACTTTTCCCTACGAAAGCCTGAATTGATCACGATAGCTAGACTAATGGGATTCAATCGCCAAAGTGTATCCAACTTTTTCAACGCAACTCAAAAAATATTTAATTTCCAACCCAATCAAATTTACAACGTGAATGAAACCGGTGTATCAACATAGCCTCAAAAAATCCCAGGATAATTACCCCTAAAGGCAAGCGAAGAATAATTAAGATATCTTCTGCGGAACAAGGAACTAAGCCAAAAGAATGTTTCAAAGAGTAAGGGTTAAGGAAATCAGTGATAATCCTCACTCTTTGAACATTCATTTTGACTTGACCAATAACATTAAAAGTATAATTATACCTCCTAATTCCACATTAGTTTTCTTTGATGTTGTTAATTTTTTTCCCACTGTCCCACCCAAAGACTGCACAAGATTGGTAGGTAACCTTCTCTTCAGTGTAGGAGTTTCTGATTTCGATGCACTTAATCTAGCTTCCCTCTTGAATTCAGTCTTGGAAAAAAATTGTTTCCAATTCAATAATAAATTTCACACTCCGATTTTCGGTTTGGCTATGGGTAGCAACTTTGTCTCCATTATTATCTGAATCAAAGGAAACCTTCTGCTTCAATCACTTATATTCACGCAGAGTTTGCAAAAAAATCAGTACCTTGTTTCTCAGGTTTTGTGATGATCACAATATGACTTTGTACACTTCAAATTCGATATCACGTATGTTCGTCGATAATAAAGATAAAATTCCTCTTCTTCATAAATCAGGTATATATAAATTATCATGTTTACACTCCAATTGCATCAACTCCCAGTACATTGGCCAGAGTGGTAGACGTATTCGAACCAGAGTTAATGAGCATATTAAACTCATAGGAAAAGCAACAAACCCTCCTCCTTCAGATGAATACACCACTAGTAGCTCCTTTGTCAAACACATTCCCAGCTCCCAACATAGTTTCAACATTGACAATAGTTTTGAAATCTTACACGTGTGTCAAAAAGGTCGTCTATTAAATCTTTTAGAAATTTATGAAATGAATGTATTCTTGAGAAATATCAATGTAACTTCTCTGAATCAACAGACCCACTTCGATTGCCTCAATTTTTTCAATTCATTAAAGTTCACTAAATAATCGAACCATTCCAATTTATTTTGTCTTAACTTGTTCTTTGTTGTAGGTCGGTGGATTCAGTTTCACGCACATGTGATTCATTCACTTTATCAGATTAAATTTGATGCCTCATCAAACTTTTTAGTTTGATTTTTCAACGTTTAATCACCTTGAGGTAATTCAAAGGCGCGTGGGTCCTTGTAAAATATGAACCCGCGTCCCTTTACTGTTTTAAATGAGTTTTATAATAAATTAACATCATTTTACAGAGAAAGTGAGTTTTTCACTCTGTGCCCTACTATTTCTTGAACCCATTGTTTTCCAAATCATGGAGCATACCTTTATGTTATAGGAAAAACAATTTTTACCCATATATGGTCCCATATAAGTGTACATGTTGGACAATTTGACTTCACGAGTTTGTTGAACAGAAGAAATAAACAGGCAGGTTAGGTTAGGTTAGGTTAGGTTAGGTTCATATACTATCTATTAAATTATATAAAGTACAAAGACTGTGATTTAATTAAGTATATAGACATAAACGTTCTAAAATCAATTTGAGAATCAGAAATTTTAGTCAGCACATAACCAATAAATGAAATGTTATCAATATGCAATCGAGAGCTCAAGCAAACACACATAGATATATTTAACACAAACGTGAAAGAACTACAAAAATATGACGTGTGAAACTATCACACACCTGTTTGTGATTGCTTGTGCCTTACCTAGTTATAAGTTTATTGTATAGTTGTAATGTTGTAAATGTCTTCTGTATATTACCATTACCTGTAATTACCTATTTCGGTGTTTGTAATGAGCTCGATGAATGAAAATACATATTTTCCTGTTATTAACTATATTATTTTTTGTCTACTTTTTCCATTTCCATGTAAGTACTGAAGTAATTATTGCACCAATATCCTAAGTCAATGCCAATTTTCCTAGAACTATGATACTGTTCATTGGCTGATGATGGGCTTATATAAGCTCGAAACATGTTCCGTTACGATTGATATTTGATCATTCTGATGAAAGTTGTGGAGGTGATCATAGTTATGTATTCATTTCAGTTCCACTGAGTGTGTAAATAATTCAGCAAGAATTCCACCGACAAACTTAACAATCGCATTAAACATATATTGTTCCAATAAGTACGTGTGGTTTTTTCTCCATTATAATTATTTATTTAAAAATCCCTTTAGTGAAGGCAACATCAAGAAAGTCATTATTTGCAACCGAAAAGTACATTTACAGCTCGTAATGTTTGTTTTGAATAAACCATGGTATTAACAGGATCCGATATAACATGACGAGAGCAGTTAAGATAGAGCTATAAAACTTTACTGCCACATTTATAGAGCAATTATATGCCTGGAATAATTTGTTGGTAGCACTTTTTGCCCACAGTCAGATATATACCTCTTTTATAGATTCGAAACAAGTTTATCTGATCATCGGAATACTGTGAAACCATGGATGAACAATTTCTCAGAATCGACCTATTGATAATTCAACTGCACTCTTCAGTGATATGTCAAACAAGACTTTACCAAAACTCGTTCTTCTATAGAATGGCAAACCTTTGGAATTCTTTGCCAATGGAAATGTTTTTCAAGAACTCATAAATTCCAAAAGTTCAAGAAAATCCCAACAAATCCCAAATCA